TTTTTTTTCTTCAACCTCTACTCTCGAGATACTTGAGAGTAGACGGGGAACGTCTACCATGACGATCATTCGAGTATCCGAAGCTTGCGAGAACTTTGCGGGAAACAAATTCCAATCGAGTTTGAAGCTTCTCACAAAGCTCTCTCGAGTACTTTTCGAGTAGGATAGAGATCGTTAGAAAACCGTAGAAACGCGACAAAATGACGAGGAGGAGGAGGAGGAGGGGGGAGGAAGAGGTGGAAACTGGTAGTAACGATGATAATGACGATGATGATGATGATGATGTTGGTTATGATTCTTTTAAACGCGTTGCTCTATCGAGAAAATGTTGTTTCTCTTGCCATGTTGTTCAGTGTTCCGTTCGCAACTCGCGTTAATTTACCTCTTTCTCTTTTCTCCTGCTACTAACGTAATCAATTAGTTGTATTAGTTGGAAATCTTGATGTTTCCGAATAAAATGGGAAAGAGTCTTTGTATTATTGGTGATAAGTATATGTAGAGGATAATTATCGAAGCGTAGTACGAAGCACCTTTTAAAAACTTCGAAAACGCTGTCACACATATAGCATAATTATCATATTAATATTATATTTATTCTATTAAAATCGCTTTTATAGTAGTTTAAAATGAATCTCACCGGTCCTAGAATATTCCGTGGCTTTACATTTGATGCAATTAGTATGGCGAGGCACTGTTTACACGTATTATTATACCACCTAGATATTATATATATATTTGATATTTGGTAGTTGCGGCAAACCTTAACACATAACTATGTCGCTTATTTTTTTTACTCGATCATTGTACGTATTTATTATCTATCTATTGATATGTATATATCATATTATATCAAATTTATATATATATAGTTGTGTATATATATATATATATATCGTTTAGATCTAGATGCATTAATTATTAATCGTCATTAGTATATCACCCATTGCTATCTAACGCATAGCCACACGTATCAAATTAAAGTGCAAGAAATATGGCGGCGTATTTGTATATTAGCCGATTTTTTCTTCTTTTTTTTTTTTTTTGTGATTGTCTCTGTCGTGTTGAACTTACGTAAGCAGCTTCTCTATATATGGTAGACTTATATTATATATTATTTCTGTTATACGTCGCAGCGAATCTTAGAATGAGTTTATTGTGTTAGATATTTGCGCTGCTGTGTATTTGAACGAACGTGTTCCTCCTAACTTTTTGAAGGAAAAGAAAAGAAAAGAAAAGAAAAGAAAGAAGTTTTCAAGACGTTTCCCTTGAATTTGCTCGATTGACGTCTGAGAAGGAGATTCTTTTTCGCAGACTTTATCCCCGATCCTACGTTTTGCCATCGAGAGAAAATCAAAAGAATGGGGGAAAAAAAAGTTATGCGAGACACTGGTGAAAAGTAAAAAAAAAAAAATAATGTATATTAAAAAAGAAAAAGAAAAAGAAAAAAAAAAAAGAGAGAAGAAATTGCGAGCCGCCGTCTCTCGGCCCTTTGATGAAAAGTATTTTCAGCTGAGAACCGCTGTTGTCTCTTTTTTTTTTCAAGGATGCAGGTACGAAATCTGGTTGTCGGACCTGGTGAAGTGACTGTGGACCACCAGGTGCGGGCAAGAACGGTGGACCAACGGTGACCAAGACACGGTGTATTGTCTATTGTGAGTCTCCTCTAATTACCAGATCCTAACCGAGTCCAGGTAAAGAAACTACCTCAAGGAGAGAGAGAGAGAGAGAGTGAGAGAAAAAAAGAGAGAGAGAGAGAAAGAGAGAGAGAGAAAGAGATAATAGGTTCCTTATCTTGTAGCAAGGTTAACTGGACCAACTGTAGCAGACCAACGAGTTGATAATAAAAACTTCATTTCCGTGTGGGTGGTGTGAGCGTAGAAATGGCAGGACGAAAAATCTCGGAAACTTGTTCAACCAGATAGATATATACTTTCTACGTTTTCTAAGAAACTAAACAATAAGTGGGGTCCGACTCTATCGCGAATAGTTTATGCACGCGATGAAATTTAGGTTAAATCGTATTCTACACGGGTTCTAATTAAAGCATCATCACCATATTATATATATATATATGTTTCGTTCGTCGGTCTTCTTAATTCAACCGGATTGAAAGGAGGAAAAAATAAAAACGTTTGCCCCGCTGTGATCGGCCAATACACAACAATCGAATCGATGGGTGTGGTCAGGATTTCTGTTTCTCTCGCCAAGATTCCCCCCTTCGCGCATTCTATCGCTCTCTCTCTCTCTCTCTCTC